TGGGAATTTCATTGTGGTTATTTGTTTAGAGTGTCAGTGACGTAGTTTCCACACACTCTTTTCTGGCTCTGTAAGGAAGTCTTTTCTTCTCCTTCCTGCCATCCACAACAATTTAGTAGACTCTGCTTTTGTAAATGGAGATAAAGCATTTAAAAATGATACTCTCTTTGCACTGGTGGTTTTAATTGACATTTCCCTAATGGCCGATGATGTCAACCATCTTTGATGTGTTTGTTTGCCGTTTATAAATGCTGTTCAGTGAAACGTCAGGAGGTCAGATTTTGAAGAACACTTGCACACCGTCCACTGCAGACTTCCCATTGTACAGAGGGGGAGCTTGAGACCCCGAAAGGGGATGTCTGGGCCGGATTCTCCCTGCAGACTGTGCTCTCTGAGTGGAACCAAAGGACAAGCGTAAGGAGGACTGAGCGCCCCAAGCCAGGCTTCTGGGCAGTTTCTGGTGGGTGCAGGTCAGCTCCTGGGCCATGGCAGCAGACTTGCCCCCTGGGGGTGCCTGCCAGGTTCGGAGGACTCCCATCCTGGAAGGAGGAGGCAGTGCCCCAGGTGGCCACCTCCTCTGAAAGGTAAAACTTCCCAGATTTGGAACCAGCTGGGCCCCTGCGGGTCCTCGGGCAGCCTCAGAGCGCACCGCGGGAAGGAGAGGAAGTGTCTGGAGACCACAGTAAATGTCATTGCGGCTGCCAGGTAGCGACTCACCACAGGCCTGACGCTGTGTGAGGGTGTGTGCAACGAGGAGTTTCTGCAGCCTCACAAAAACACTCTGAGGAGGATGCATTCTTACCCCCGTTTCATAACGTGACAGGAACACAAATATCAGTGAGTCGGCCGGGCTGTGTTTTTGCCTGTTACTTCCTGTTGCTGCTGTAGCCAGTTACCACAAACTTCGTGGCTTAAAACAACCCAGATTTATTAGCTTTACAGCTCTGGAGGTCGGAAGTCCAAAGTGGGTTAAAATCGAGGTATTGGCAGGGCTGTGAGGTTTCTGCAGGCTCTCAGGGAGACTGTCTTCCTGCCTTTCCTAGTTTCTAAAGCCTTCCTGCTTCTTGCATCAGACCCTGACTTCTGCCTCCCTCTTCCACATGGAAGGACCCTTGTGATTACTTCAGGCCCACCCAGATAGTCCGAGGTCATCTCCCTAAAGACATGATGATGAACAAGCTTAATTCCTTCTACAGCCCTAATTCCCCTTTGCCAGGTAAGATGATGTGTTGGCTGCATCTGGGGACTAGGGCTCAGACATCTTTAGGGGCCATTGTTCTGGGGGAGCTGAGAGGTACTAGGTGAGGAGGAGGCTGGGAGGAACGGGACCTCCTGCTGTGTGGGATGAGCAGGTGTGGGCAGGACAGAAGAGTGTGAGCACTGCCCTGGAGGACTTACCTCCTAGCTGGAGGAGCCCCTGAACACACATCGGATCATGTGATCATGTGCTGTGAAGAAAAATATTCCTGGAGAGGGACTGTGGAGTGAGTACAGGGTTGGGAGTGGGTTGCAGTTTAATCAGGGTGGGCCTCCCTGAGGAGGTGGCAGTTGAGCCAAGAATGGAAGAAGAGAGGAGTCACAGAGCAGCCTGGGGGAAGAGAGTGACGTCCCAACCCCTCGGGGCTGCAGGGCCCTTCATGGGCCAGTCCTGACCGGTCCTTGCGTGTCACCGTCTGGGCTTCTCCTCTCTGAGCTTCAGCTCTCGAGGGACTTGCACCTCCCCCAGTTGAGCCTGGCTTCCTCTGGCTCTGGTGCCACTGATGACAGCCGTTTTTTTTCCCTGCTGGGAATTCTCATCCAGGAGTTGACCCCCACCTCTATTCTGAGGGCCTCCTCCTGTGCTCTTTTTCCAGCCCACCACTTACCACACTGAGTTGCTAGTTCCCTCATCTCTCAGGTCCCAGAGCCTTTAAGCTGTCAGCAGCCAGGGACTGTCCTGTTTGCTGTCACGTCCCCACCATCTAGCATTCGTTCATCTCATGGGTGTTTGTTGAAGGCTGACACTGTGAACGTGCCATCTGTTTTCTGCTGGTGTCCCAACAGGCAGCATGTCCCACATCCCGGTTCCTCCCCATCTGTCCCCTAACCTGCTCCTCCCCTTTCTCAGTTATTGGCATCCGCTGTGCCCCTATTTGCTCAAGCTCACAGCCTTGGAGTCGCTCTTGATTCCTGTCTTTCTCCCACATAACTTGTCCAGTCCTTAGTGAGCCCTTGTGAGTCAGTCCTAGAAACAGGTCCAGGATCTGATGTTTACTGAACCCTCCCACCACTTCCTTGGTCCAAGTCATCAGCGTTGCTTGGCAGCCCTAGTGCATCAGCTTAACTCATGTCTCTACTTTCTTTCTTGCCTCCTATGGTTTGGTGTCAACACAGCAGCCAGACTGACCATTAGTATATATAAATCATGTCACTTCCCTGATTTGCCTCCCTTGGTGGCTTCCCTTGACACTGTAAGATCCGAAGTCCTTTTTGTTGTGGCCTCCACCTTGCCTCACCTGTTTCTCCAACCCCATCTACTCTTCACCCCCTTTCTTCATTCTGCTCTGGCCCCAGTGATGACTTTTCTGAGCCTTCTGGGAACTCTCTGACCTCAGTTGCCTTTGCACATGCTATTTCCGCCATCTGGACTCTCGACCCCAAGATGGCAGCTAGGTCTACTCCCTCACTTCATTTACATCTCTGCTTGAATTTCACCTTTTCCGAGAACCTAAATCAGCACCTCCCCTCTTTCTGTCTCTTTCCCTTGTTGGACTTCAGAGTGTGTATCACTACTTTTTGAATACTTTTATCTGTGTTTTCTCTTTTTCACCTTAGAGTATAAGCTCCATGAAGGCACTCAACAAATATTTGCTACTGAAGGAAGATAATGGAGCAAATACAAAGTGCCTGTGGGAGTGGCCCCCACGCCACACATCAAGAAGCCAGGGAGGGATTCCCAGAGGAAGGGGCAGTCCCTTTGTTATTGCTGCCAAGCGAGTGTGTAGGCCGCACATTCAAGGGTGCCGAGCATGCCAAAGAGGGCCTCCTCGTGGGATCACATGTTCCCCAAGGGTCAGGGCCATGCCCTCTCAGTGCCATCAGGCCTACCCCTGTGTCTTTGTCTTCTTGCTGTCTGACCACGCAACCTGCGGTAGAAAGTGGTTTGTCAGGAAGATATCTTTGTTGTTGACACTTTTCCTTGGGAAAGGCACTGCAGTGTTCCAGACCGTTTAGGGGTCTTCTAAACTAACTTCTGAACTAAACAGACTTCTGAATTAAAGACCAGGTGTCCCTGACAGCATGAGTCTCCCCTTCCGCTGAACAGAGAGAGTGCCTGGGAGAAGGAGCTACAGCAGGCAGAAAGGACCCAGCTCTGCCCCTGCATGGATCCCGAACTGTGCAACTGCACCACCCCACCTGGCCTCGGAGGCCTTGAGGGGAAGCCCAGGTAGAGCAGTGTGCGTCGGGAGGGCAGCTGTGAAACCACAGACTGGGCGATAGCGCCCATCCAGTGGGGCGCCGGCCGAACACCAGGGGTGATGGGATGGGGACTGTGCTTAGTGGACAGGAGATGCCCTTGTAGGATACGTGGGGTTGATCACAAGTGGGTTTGACGAAGCACAGCAGCGCCTGGTGGGAGCTGTTAGATGGCTCCCTGCCTCCTCACTCTGTTTCTGTCTCTCTTTCTCTTCTCCTTCTTTCTACTTCCCTCTTTCCCGTGTGTTTCTCTGCGTATTTCCTCCACTGCTCTCTGACCAGCTCCCTCCCCCAGGCTCTTGGTTTCCACTCTTCCCAGCACCCATTTGGGTTTCATTTTGGGTCACTGTGGTGCCACCTCTTGCCCCCAAAGCTGTATCACCACCCAACTTCAATGCCGTGAGTTCTGCCTCACAGCCCCGGCTCTCAACCTCAGGTTCCAGGAGACTCTTATGGGCCAGCCTGGACCAGATGTCCACTCTCAGCCCAGCAGCTGTGGGTGGGCGGACAGAAGTCGGGTGATTCACGGGCTATGTCATCTGGGGGTGAACAGGATGGGCTTTCTCAGAAGGGTGTGTGGCTGGGAAAGAAGTGAGATGTACATTCGATCCAGGCATATCCACCCTTGGGGGGGGGTCTGCCACTCCGGGTGGGTTCCCGGACATCAGGTAGAGGGACGTGCTGAGGTGACTTTGGAGTCAGAGCCGCCTGGGCAGGCATCCTGCACCTGCCATTTAGGAGCTGTATCACCTTGAACAAGTTACTTAATGTCTCTGAGCTTTCTGAAAATAGTATCCATCGCAAGGGTTGTTGGGGCATGAAATGAGGTCATGACAAAACACATCTTGCAGACAGTCAATAAATGAGAGCATTAAAAAAAATCAGTTATCTTTCCATTCTGCGATCTCAAAGAGCTCTGTGGACCCAAAGGCCAAGCTAGCCCCATACCAAGGGGCATCTGATAACGTTGTTCTGGGGTAAATGGTACTCGTAGTGTTTGGGACTCCTGGGTGGAGGCTCTCCGCTTGGTGGAGATTACCTAGCCCCACTGTTGCCAAGGACTATTGGTATCCCTACTGCAGAGAATGTGGGTCCAATCTGCAGGATTCACACCCCGGCTCTGCTGCCAACCAGCCCTAAGACGTGGGACTCATTACTTAACCTCTTCAATCTTGAGTTTTCTTGTCTGTACAGCGGAGACAATCCTGGCACCTCTCTCAAAGGACAGAGAGAGATACCACAGGTGAGCTGTTTTGCACGCTATCTGGCACCTGGCACTTAGTAAACTTTCAGTGAACTGGTAACTTCTGATAGAATCTCAGAGACATAAAGACAGACGTGGAGACAGAAGTGACAGGCTCTTGAGAGCAGGCAGTGAGTGGGGAGGGAGAGCCCAGAGTCCTGGGGTCCTCCGCCCCTGCTTCTGGTGCTTACACCCCAGGTGGGTTGTCCCAACACCCTCCCTATGCACCCTCCCTTTTTGTCCTGAAGAGAGCTCATTGTGGGGAGAAAGGTGTCCACTCGAGCAGAAGTGGGAGAGCCTCCACAGCAGAACATTTCCTTTTTATTGTCTGTAAACTCTTCTTTGGTAAACAAGAGACCCAAGGGAAAAGGGGCACACCGAGTCAAGAGGACAAGGACTGGGCCAGTGCCTTCCACGAACAAGGAATGCCAAGAAGACAGCTACACCATGAGCAAGGTGGCGCAGGGAGCCCAGGGGCTCAGGGTGGGTAGTAGCCCGGGGGAGAGGCAGAGGAGAGAGAGAGAGGGGAGGGTCTGCTCCGTTGGACATAGGAGCCTAAGTCGTACAGCAAAAGAACTCATGCATCACAGCAAAGAGAACCAGGGACCCCTCACCTGTGCCCCCGCCACCTTCCACGTGGTTGATGCCTCGCTGCAGGCCGGGCGCTGTGCCCATCAGTCAGGGTTGGGCTGGAGGGGGCACCGGAGGCCTGTCAGTCAGCAGCCCCTCTACCTCTTCTTTCCTGCTTTATAGGCTGCTGTGTGCAGGTGGCAGGGGCAGCCAGAGGGGTGCTTAGGATCTCTGGGTCTGGGTGGGAGTGGCAGGGCAGTGGGAGCAGGGGTTAGGGGAGGTGGAGCAGCAGCTCGTGTCCCCCTATTACATGGGGGGCTCGCTGCAGAGGACAATCTCCAGGTCCTTACGGTAGAGCTTCCCCGCCTCAGCCAAGGACATGACACTCTTTCTGTAGTTGGTGAGCTGCTGGATGTTCATTTCCTAGGAGAGGTAGAGAAGAGCAGGCTCAGGGGACTGCCCCGCCTAAAGGCCCACCTGCTCATTCACAAACATGCCAAGCAGGACCTATCCCTTACACTCACTGGCTGCATTGCTTTGGAGAAAGGATTCAACCTTTCTGAGTCTGTAAAATGGGTACAATAATAAATCTGCCTCAGTGAGGTGTTTCGATGATTAGATGAGGAAACGAACATTGACAACACTTAGCACAGTGCCTGGCCCACAACATGTGCTCCCAAAAAGCAGTAGCTATTGGTGACACTCATTATCTCTGCATAACTTGTATAAATTCCTCTACCTCTTTGGGCCTCCATTTACTCAATCTGAGGCCCTGCAGGTGAGGAAGAGAATGCCAGGGAAGCACCCCGGTTTTGTCTTCAGGTCCCCTGGACCATAGGATTCTAACTCCTATCTCCTCTGGCGGAAAAGCCCACCAGCCGACTTCCCGTGTACTGGCTCCTCGTGGCCTTCAGAGGCTACTGAGACAGGTTACTCACCAACATATACCCTTAGTCTCATATAAAGCGGAGGCCAGAATTAAACAGAACACCGCCATCCCATACACCTTGTGTTGCTTTGGCTGCAAATAGCCAATAGTTCTGAAATGTAGCAAAGTCACTTAAACAACTATCTTTTTCTTTCCCTCCTTCCTTCCTCTTCCTCCTTCTCCTTTTGTATTGAATATATTGGCAGGTCTTTTTTTTTTCAAATACTTCCCCTTCCAGGCTAATGGGTCATTATCCCCATTCAGTGAATGAAAAAAACTGAGGTGTAAAGACTAGGGTATTGGCTAAAGGATGGGGCCAAAACTACCAAATATCCTTAGTCCCCTGAGTCCTGAAGTCTATGTAATTATTTCCCTGGCTCATTTGTCCTCCATTATGGCTTTCTTGGTGCTCAAAGGTCAGTCTTTCATTGCATTGTTTGGAGACATCCCCTCTTGTTACTGATTTCTGGGTTTGTGCCACCACCCAGCCCCAAGGCATGCTGCAAAAGCATCTCTAGCTTTGAGGGGGCATCTTCCCTAAAGTAGGGAAGTTCCTGGAAGTGTTGCCTAGTCTATGACACTGGGGTGTGCCCGAGCGATCTACCACTCAATTAGGAGCCAAGGAAGGGACCCCATATATGAACCCTGAGCTTGAGAAAACACTCTGGTTCAGTGTGGCATCAAGAGCTTTAGCAGATGTAGAATAGATAAACAAGATTACACTGTATAGCACAGGGAAATATACACAAAATGTTATGATAAATCACAGAGAAATGTGACAATGAGTGTGTATATGTCCATGAATGACTGAAAAATTGTGCTAAACACTGGAATTTGACACAACATTGTAAAATGATTATAAATCAATAAAAAATGTTAAAAAAAAAGCTTTAGCAGAATGTAGGGCGTGGGCTGCTTGCTTTCTGTGTCTGGAAGTATTGCTTGAAGCTAGGAAAGGCTTTAGCGAGTTGCAGTTGTCTTAGGAGTGCTGAGAAATAGCAAAGTTTGAGCCCGTCAACCTGTCCCTCGGGAGCCCCAAACATTAATCAACTCAGAAACCGAATCCCCATCCATGCAGGTGATGTCCATTGCAGTTAAAGATATTTTCATTATGCTGCTCAACATTCCTTGCACATATAGGGATGCACAAATAATTATCTCCTAGAATTTGGTGCCAGAAAAAAATGTACCAAGTTCAAATACTTGGTGAGTACCTCCTTCTTCCTAGGACGTATTTGCTTACTTAAAATTTATTTTCCGCCTCTTTCAAAAAGCAATGGTAGGTATTGTAAAGGAAAAAAAAATTTAAGGGTGAAAGAAATGAAGGATAGTATTCAGGATAACAATTAAGAGGTCAGAAGGCAATTGGAAAGGGAGATAGATAGGCTCAGGGGCAGCAATGATTTTTTTTCGCTGAAAGTGAACATTAAATTTAGCTCTTGCCTGATGGCCCAGGCAGTCAGACAACACAAAAAATTAGAGCACATTCCTCATCTAATTAAAGAAAGCAGCAAAACCAATTTGCTCTGAGAAAGATTTTCCAGGAGGTAAAGGAAGACGGCTGCCAAAACTCGTCTCCTGGTTCCTGTTCCACCTGCATCCTCCCATCCAGGGCACCCAGATGAGCCCCCGGGTCTGTCCAAGAGGCAACACAATGGGGAAAAGTAGTAAGAGTTCAGTTCCCAGCCTTCTCTTCGAGGAAACACATTCTTCAGTGACCCTCTTCCCCAGCCCCAGATTCTGCAGTTAATTCAGAATACCCGCGCCTCCCTCCAGGCCCTGCTCTCTCAGATCGCTCCATATGTGAAAAGTCTTTTTTGCTGGCCATGTGGCTGCCGCTTCCAAGAACTGGGCCACATCAGAACTGCCATTGCCTCACAGCCACATTATTGGCATTAGCCCACAGGTTGAAGCAACCCAAGTGTCTTGTCTATGGAGGAACAGATCAACAAAATGTGGGATAGACACACTGTGGGATGTTATTCAGCCTTAAAAAGGAAGGGAATTGCGGCTCAGGCTGCAACATGGAGGAACTTTGAGGACGTTCCAGTAAGTGAAATAAGCCAGACACAGAAAAACAAATACTGTCTGATCCCACTTATGTGAACTTTGTAGAGCCATCAGGTTCATAGAGGCAGGAAGTGGAATGGTGGGTGCCAGTGGCTGGGGGCAGGAGGGAGTAAGGGGGGGCTACTGTTGAATGGGTACAGGGTTTCATCCTGGGATGATGCTGGACAGTGGGGATGGTTGCACAGTGAATGTACTCAGTGCCACTGGACCGTACACTTAAAATGGTTAAGATGGCAAACTTTCTGTGATGAGTGGTTTTTTTAAAAAAAATCAATTCAACCAGAAAAAAAAACCAAACCAAAAAACTGCCATTGCCTTGTAATGGGTGACCAGAGAGGAGCAAAATGCACTCCACTGCATTGTCCCCACCTTCCTGCCGGGACAGTTCCCCACCCCGGGCTCCTTTCCCACCCCGGGCTCCTTTGCTCACCTTCTTGTTTTTCTCGTACAGATCCTTCAGGAGGGCATCCAGCTCATTCTCATCAATGTAGCCACTTCCGTCCTGGCAGGGAGCAGAGGGTCAGCACAGAGCCTCAGGCCTCAGGCCCCACAGCCCCTGGCCAGAGTCTACCTTTTGCTAACAGTCTTTACTCTGTGCAAAAGGAGATGCCAAGATATTCAGTAACCAATAAGCAATAACTTTACCAGTCACTGCAGGAAGGGAGGGCACGGGGCAAATTATTCATCCTGCTGTTTGTCATTTGTGTTGAAAATGTAAATGAGGCTCAGGAAGCATTTAGCTAACTCCCTGGGTGTCAAATCCCACAGTTAGATGTCAGGGTGTACACAGGGGCTATTTAAAGTCTACCCCCAACCCTTTGGTTCTAAGGAAGATCACTGGAGTGCTGCAGGCAGGGGACGGCTAAGGGAGAGGTGACGGTGGTAAGGAGGGCCTCTCACTTCCCACTGCCTAGAAAGACAAGATTATGACCTGGCACCCAGGGAGCAGCACTGAGCACGTCCTCCTCTTGGGCCCCAACAGTGCAATCGCACCCCAACTCCGAGCATAACCCTCTTCCACGAGCTATTCTCTCCTGTACTTTTAAGGAACAAAACCTTGGGTCCCCAGGCCACAGACTGTGAAGGACTTTTATTTTCTGACTAAGCAGAAGATGCCGCAGGGAACCCAGAGAGACAGGAAGAAACTACATGGCCCGGGCTGCCACTCCAACAGCTTGTCTATTCCCAAAGACCACGGTGAGCCATTCTGATCGGGGGCTCCCCTGGTGCTGGGCCACCTCCTCCTCTGTCCACACCATCCTCCGTCTTACCTTGTCGTAAAATGCGAAGATCGCGTTGAACTCCTCTGAAGTCAGCTTCATGCCCTGAAAGGCCCAAGGTATTAGAGTGAGAAGCCATAGCCTTGCAGTGTGTGTGTGTGTGTGTGTGTGTGTGTGTGTGTGTGTTGAGTCGGGACAGGAGGGTGGAAAGGTGAGCACAGAGGGACAAGGGGAAGGGAAGAATTGAAGAAAAGCAAAGTGGCTCTTTTACCTGAAATTTAAGCAGGAAGTTTTCCTGTACAGGCAAGAGTCTGGGAAGAGAACGTTAGAGTAGCGATTAGGGGACAGAGAAGAGGCAAAAGCAACTCAGACCAGAGAGGATGCAGGCTTAGTATCCAGAGTTATGGAAACGATCCCTGAGCGCTTAATAATCAGGAGTCAGTGGAAGGTGCTAAAAAGAGGGAGACGGAGCATTGAGGTGATGATGATCATGATTTCCTCTAACTTTGATTTGAGCTTCGTGACCCCTGACCTGTCACTGTATCCACTGGTTGATCTTAGTGATAGGGACGGCAGCACAGGGGTGATCTGCAGCGGTCTTGGGAAAAGTGATGCTGGGGTGAGTGAGGACAGGCACTTACCGGGACATCTCCGAGAGGCCCAATTTGCCATCCCCGTTCAGGTCAAACATCCGTAGCTGTTGGGGACAGAAAGTGGTGCCTGGGTTATTTGCTTTGACCTCCTTTCATAGGGGGCCTTGACCTGCCACCCCCTATATTGGAGAGGAAGGACGCTGGGGGCAGCGTGCCCGTGTGTCCTCTGAGGTCACCTGGAGGCAGGGCCAGCATGGTCTAAATCAGGCACGGTCACAGGGGAAACAGCAGGCACTAGGTCACTGCTCCCCTCTCCCCAGCTCAGGGACTGGGCTGCAGAGGAGAGCAGGCCAGAACCAGAGGCCCACCCTCCCCAAGTTTATCCTCTCCCCTAGCTGGAGACATTGTCATGCAAACAGATGCTCTGGTCACATGCTGGCCCAGGAGCACCTGGCTATGTGGTGACCTCAGAGAGAGGGTTGGGAGGGCCGTGAACTAGCATCCCTTTAGCTGGCTGTCACTAGGAGTCACTTCACCAGAGCCTCAAGAATCAGCCAGCTAAAGACCCTGCAAGCCCAGAATCCCGCCAGTTTGGGGCCCATGTCCTGCGCCCCTGGGGAGGAGTCCTACTTTTGGCCACTCACTATGGTTTGGGTGTACTCTTGGAGCTTGAGTTCGTCGTATGGCCGGTTCGCCTTCTTCAGCAGATCAGACAGGAATCCCTGGAATACAAAGGGCGTCTTGAGAGCTCCTGACTCAATCAGTCCATCCATCACTCACTTACCTGTTCATTCAGTCACTTTGACATTGCCTTCTGCCATTTGCATAGCTTACAGCCTCACAGTTCCCTCGCCCCTCAATGCTGTGGAGTCACCCTGAAGGGTGGAGGTAGCTCCTGGATGCAACCTCACCCCATAGGACAGGTGGTGGAGACTGGCTCTCCTGAGAGCGTCCAGGACACATAGCTAAGCAGTGCCCAGGGACCCCTGGTTCCTGAGGAATTTAGGAGTAGAAATACAAGCTGGAAGTCCAAATTGCTGGGGTGCCTTGAGGATGCCTGTCCTGGGCCCCAATGTTCAGAGGAGTGTGAACTGGTTGAACTTTGTAGCCCCACAGCTCCATGTTACTGATTTCACATGGCTGAACAAGTCCAACAGTTCAGAGCCAGACTTGAGCATTCCTCAGCAGACCACCAACCCATATTCCTCACCCAACGTCTCCTCCTCCCCAGGTTCCTTAAAACCACCACCACTCTGGCCTCACCATTCTCTGCGCCCTCCCCGCCCTGCCCAAGGCCCATCCTACCTTGAGCTCGTTGGCTTCGATGTAGCCGCTTCTGTCTGTGTCATACTTCCGCCATGCCTGCAACGGGAATGTCAGTGTATTCACAGAGACCTGTGCACACCTATAAGCCTCCCTCCACCTCCCTTTAATGGGCCAGGCCAGGTCTTGATATTCAGGTGAGATGGGGACATGGAGATGGTCTAACCCAGGCCCTTCCATGCTGCAGCTGAAGAAATGAGAGAAAGTGTCTTGGCCAAGGTCACATAGAGAAGGGAAAAAAACTGTGGGGACAAGGTCTCCTAACTCTTAACTGGCTACGGGCCTGGCCTGAGTGTCTCTTTGGATCATCTTGTAACCAGGCTTATGGTTTTCTAAGGTGCTAACCAGACAGATTTTTATCAAGACTAGCATTAGCATCTGGTGGATCCCATTTTTGCTGTGGGTATATTGGGTGCCCTTTTTACTGTTCTGGAAGCTTCTCATTCATCCCCTGAGTGGGAGCTTGGGGCAAGGGTAAGAACCCTCCGGAAGGGGCAGGAACAGGCTTTGGTTACTCTTCACTGTACTGCCTCCTCTCCCCTCCATCGTGATCCATGTGGCAGCCATGCCTGAAGCGTAATCAGTTTGTTGAGACTGTCCCAAGGCCACTCCTCCTCCTTTCTAAAAAAAGCATCTCCCCGCCTCTTTTTAGGAGACCACCTCTCTCTCATACTCATTCCATGTGGTTCAAGAGGGGCTGACCCATGTCTAGAGGTAGGCATGTGACCTAGGCCTGGACATTCGATCCCTCCATGTGTCTTGTCCTATACTGGTTTTGGGCTCTGATCCAAGTCCCAGTTATTCAGTGCATGTATTGGGTCCCTGTGAGGAATCAGGGGACTGCCTGCTGACCACAGCATCTGGAGGACCAAAGAGAAGCAGAGCTTTAGCAAGTGATAGGGGTCTGACCACCTCCTTCCTCTCTATTCTAGCCATTTGAGCAGGAGCAGACATCACACAGGAGAAACAAGGGAAAATAGTTGTAGTGGTTTAGAGCCTAGTTTCCCCCTCCTTGTATGTGGATTGAACTTACTGAGTCACGTCCAATGAATAGAATATGGCGGATGTGACTGTGTGTGAATTCCAAGACTAAGTCACAAAGACATTGAGGCTCCTTCCTGTTCTCTCTCTTGGATCACTCACTCTTGGAGGAGGTCAGCTGCCACCTTGTAAGGAGGATACTCAAGCAGCCCTATGGAAAATCTCATGTAGTGAGGAACTGAGGCCTCTTGCCAACAGCCATGTGAGGGCACCATCTTGGTGCACCTCCCAGCTCCAGTCAACCTTTCAGATGACTGCAGCCCAGCTGACATCTTGACCTCAATTTTATGAGACTCTGAGCTAAAACCACTTGGCTAACCTGTTCCTAAATTTGTAACCACAGAAACTGTGAGATAATAAATGCTTGTTGCCTTAGGCTGCTAAATTTTGGGGGGTAATTTGTTATGCACCAATAGGTAACTAATACAATGGTCTTGACAAATGCTGGTCTTGAATGCAACTGTCCTGAAGCCCCAGCCTTTTATTTAAGCCATCTGAGGGTAGAAGGGAATTACCACGCTGAGGGGTGGAGGAGGGTGTATCTGTGACAAAAGGCCCAGAGAACAGTGTTTCCTTAATCTTTGGTCTATTTTGGTGCCTGATCATAGTTCTTAGATTTTCTTTCAAGTTTTCTTCCCTTGATTTTTATTCCTTTCTCACCCAGCTCCAAACTGCACACCTGGACACCAGCAACACTTGATTTTCTGAGAGTCAGCAGGCACTAATTCTTTTCCCAAATTTGATCTCCTGCCTCCTTGATTTCTCCACATTATGTCCCCCTTTTATTGTCAGGAGTCTGAAAATTTATAGATTTTTTAGAATTTTCTTCCATACCAGTAAACAAGGCTGTGTAATTTTCATGGTACAGTAGTAGCTCAAGAAATTTGTTCCTGATTTTTTTTTTTAAGTTATGAGACATGACCAAGTTCCAAAAAAAGAATGGATTATTCTACATACACCTTGGGTAGATGGTTTTTGATTAGGAGAGAGTATTTTCTTTGGGGAAAAATGCCTGATTCAATCAAAATATTCCTTCCCATTCCCTGAAAGCCTGCCTTTAAGAAAGCACTAAGAAATATGTGCAGATTTGCAAATATGACTTCACCAACCACCTGCATGCATTTAGTGCATTAGAATTTATCTAGGCTGAGTCTTGACTGGGTAAAAAGGCAGCACCCCCTACATTGCCTAAAAGGAGGATAACCTGAAGGGACCCCAGTCCTAGCAGAGAGCAAAGCATCCGGCTGCTTTCAGAGTGAGATCATCCCAGCAGGTCTGACCTCCCTTTCTCCCTCCCTCCCTGGATCCACCGCACCCCCACCGCACCCCCACGGGCTCATGCTGGACTTTTCTTCCCCTCCAGCACTTTGCACTCAGCCATCAGTGGGTCATTATTTTCTTCTCACTCAAGGAAAAGAGTTCAAGAGACCCGGGCTTTGTGAAATCTCAAAGAAATCCTGAGTTATCACTAAAATTAGAAATTAAAATGTTATGCTGAGCAGTAAGATGGGAGCCATCTGTCAGCACAAGCCTTTCAGGGCTGCCAGGGGGCCATTTCATGTTTCCAGCTGATAAAGACAGAACACATGGACAACCCTGGGAGGGGGATGGTCCTGTAGGATGGTTGGGGAGGGTACCAGGAAACTCGAGGGAGCAGGGTGGTGTTGGCTTAGTAGTTACGCTGGGGCTTAAAGGATAAAGGCAGGTGAGAATATGGAGCCATGTCAACTACACAGAGAGAAACCACTAATGATTTAGAGAGAGAGGGAGTTTTTGTTTTTGTTTTTTTGGGTTTTTTTGCTCCTCTTTAAGTATCTCTGCCCTTTGCAAGCTACCATCCCCATTTTCCAGATCACAGGTGGAAGAGGGGCCAATCTTTGGCTTCCTATCAGAAAGGGAGCAGTCCGATATAAACACTCTCTTTTCTATAGACAGAAAAACTGACCCTCACACAAGCAGCACCCTGACAAGTTCTAAGTATATGCAGACTTTTCCTCCTAGACAGGCAAGATGAGGCCTAAGAACAGAATCCAGCATGTCAATTATCAGCGTATGGAATTTTGCCATCTTGAAAAAAAAATGGAGAAAATCCTTCAAAGCACTGTAAAATTAAATCCATATCTGATGCTTAGGCAAGTTGCCACTTAAAAAATAAGCCTTCTGCACTGAGAATCCATTATTTCTAACTGACTTTCTATCCACGTGGGGAGCTCAAAGTCACTTGTGGTTCTGGACTGGCTCTCCAGTCGTTTTTACGCAGTGAAGCACGGAGAGGGGATTACCAGTGGCTGGAAATGGATTTAACGTGATGAAGGGCGACACAGTCGTGCTGAAGGCCAGTCACTGTTTATCACAGCAGGCAATGTGTGTGCAGGGGTGGGTGGGTGGGTGGTACTGGTTGAATTTTACCCTGAGAGACACATACATTAAATGGCTAGGATGCAGAGCCCCCCAAAAATAGCAAAAAATAATTCGTGGTTTGCTTGGCATCAGCATTAGTAATGTATTTGGTTAGACGATATAGAGTTTCCAATTTTTGTAAATAAAGACTGTTTAAATAGGAGCAGTTTCATATGGTTCAGTCTATTGGTTGAATATTACTCAGAAGACATGAATTTCGATGTCCTATTTCATGTGAGAACCTTTGCTACTGCAAAGATGACCATGTCCATTTTAAAGGTGAGCAGGGAAGCCCAGACCACAGTCTGAGATCAAATCTGGAAGATAGTGGAAACTGGAATTCTCACTTATCTGTTTCAGCTTTAGGATGGTATGTAAATCCATCCTTCCCACAAAGGCTCCTTGGAACTGGGACTTCCAGGGACACAATGCTATTGAGTGAGAAGAAAGTATAGGAGAGTCTGGAGGCAAACTGAGTGAGACAGATCTCTTTACTGCAGGATTTCTCAGAGCCTGTAATATGCAAATATCTATGACAAATCCCCCAAATGGGAGCCAGTGTGTACACGTTATTTCCCAAAGGAACTTCACCCATGCTTACTTCTCACCTTACTCCCCTCACTTTAATGTGCACACGCATCACCTGGGGATTTTGTTAAAATGCAGATTCTGAGTCAGTGGGTCAGGGACTCTGTATTTCTAACAAGCACCCAGGTGATGGTGACATGGATGCTGCTGGCCCATGGACCACACTTGGAGTAGCTGAGCTACTCCGAAGGGGTTTAGTGTCTTTCAGGGACCATTTCCAGCCATTGGGTGGGCTTGGCTTTGAACATGAGAGAAAGGCAGGTCCCAATGTGCAAGACAGAAGCCAGCGCCTTGGTCTCACCTCCATAAACTCAGTGCTGGAGCCCACGTGCTGCCTGAAGCACAGAAGGAAGTTCTCCTCGGTCGGCAGGATCTGCGCCAGCTGTGGGGGTCAGAGAGGGACAGTTGCATTATGGAGAGCCCGGCCAGGGAGCAGACCAACTTTCCTGTAGGAAGGTTGGAAAATAGCCAGTGGCAAGGCAGCGTGGGAGTCAAATTTTGCTCCATTTTGCTTTCTTCCTTGAGAACAGCCCTGCAATGGGGAAGAAGGATGCTTCTGGGTCACCCCAGACTTTCAGGTCGAAGCAGCTGGAGGCACAGAAAATGGTGTCATTTTAAGATGCAAATATTCAGACTCAATACTTAACAGATGACTATATATATATAAAATTCTAGAAAATGAAGACTAATCTGAGATTGGTGGTTGCCGGTGCAGGATGGCCTGCACCTGGCAGAGGAACCTTTTAGAGGTGATCGAAATGCTGTGTCTTGATTGCGGTGGTGATTACAATATACAACTTTCTAAACTCGTGGAATTTTACACTTCAAATCAATGCTGTTTATTGTATGTAAATTATCCCACAACAAATCTGATTTTTAAAAAAACACAAATACTCTTGTGAAGCAAACACTGTTGGCTGCACACCCAGCTGGCCTTCCCCCTCTTTTCTGCTCCCAGCATCCTTGAGTCATAGGTAAATCCTAACTAGTCTCAGCTAACTGTGCTAATCCCACTTCCCTGGCCAGTGATTGGCTTATGCTTAGGCATGTGACCTAGTCTTGGCCAATGAGATGTGAGGGGAGGTCTGCTGAGGGTACTTCTGGGAAAGGTTTCCTTGCTCTTCTCAGGGACCACATGAGATGGGTCCTTTCTGCATCAGGGCATGGCTGTGTCTGGATGTGATGCCTGGAACTGTTGTGGCCAGCTTGCTATGTGTGAGCCTGAGGATGAAGCCGTTTTAGAGAACAGAACCAAGAGAACTGCAGAGAAGCAGGGCTGGAGACCTGGCCTCCTTCACCAGGAGCCAACTCTCCCCATGGCCTTTCTCTTTAGAAGCCTCTCAGAGTTTAAGCCACAAGTTGGTAAATTATGGCCCAAGAGCCAAACCTGGCCTGAAGCCTGTTTTTGTAAATAAACTTGTATTGGGCCATGGCAGTGCCCTTCATTTACATATTGTTTGTGGTGGTTTTTGTGCCACAGTGGCAGAGTTGAAGAGCTGTGACAGAGACTGCATGGCTTGCAAACCCTAAAACATTGACCATGGTCTGGATCTTTACAGAAAAAGCCTGCTGACTCCTGGTTTAAGGCCATTTGAGACTTGCAGTTGAGGCAACGAGAGTGGATGCTCTTGGTGCCTTTCCCTCATCACCTTTACCTGGGCTGTTGGCCATCCCTCAGCTGCTGTGAAGGTTGACTGCTAGTGGCTCATAGCTGCCCCCTGCAGGAGAAATGCCCTCCACCAAACCAGGGATGCCCTAGCCATCCTCCCTGCATCCTTCACCCTGCAGGGGACAGCCTGCAACCACGGCCTGATTAACACAGGGGTACAAAGGACCATCCTAGCTCTTGCTTCAAGGTGGGATCAACTCTGTGGCACAATCCACACTCTGGAGCCCCCACACTGAGATCAAGGCTAGGCTCCAGCTGAGACCATATCCTTGCTTCACTTCTTCTTCTGCCCTTTCCTGTGTTCTCTCTTCCCTTCTCTTGAGGACTTCTCCCTCAATAAATCCTGCCCACTTGAATCTCTGTCTCAGTCTCTGCTTCCTGAGCACTGACCTAACATCATGGCAACTAGCCCACCCTGAGAGGAGTGATGCCCTCCTTTGTGTGCTGCCATGATCATTCTGGACCACTGGACTGTGGTCTGCAAACTGATTGCCAGAGGTATTTGGCTAGACTAAGACACAAGTATGTGTGTATATGCAAATTGTAAAATTACTCAAGGAAGCCATTAGACTGAGGTGGCCTTGATGCCTTAATAGCCCGCATAAGGAAACCAAAATCTAAACAAACAGCCAAAGCAGCCAGCTAGGCTTTCGTGCATAATGCAACCACTCAGGTGGTAGCCAGTCAAATGATTTCCTTGCTTTGCTTCTGTCTCGTCTCTATAAAAGTCTTTCCCTTAGCTCCTGTTGGTGGAGTGTCCCTAACTAGTTCTAGTTTGGTACTGCCCCATTCAAATTGATTTTTGCTCAGACTCTTAGAATTTTTGATATGCTTCCATTTATCTTTTAACAATTTGTATATATCTATGCACATATGAATATATACCCACACACACCTTTGGATGCCCATAGGTGGGGCATGGGCTGTCCTGTCCCCCAGTCTTCACCCTGTCTTCTGTCTTAAGTTGAGGTCATCACATATTTACAACACCTGTTGGACCCCGAGAGCATTTAAGGTCTTCATCCCTGTCTTAGTGTTTGTTGCTTCCTGTTTCCTTGTGAGACAAAGAAAAGGACCCATCTGTTCTCTTTGATCAGCCTAGGTGCTGGGGGTGGGAGTGGGGCTGTAAGACCGCCGCCTCTTTCAGGTCTCTAGAAGGATGCTTATACATGGAAGCGGCACAGGTGATTGTTGGCCCCTCTCACTTAGCTCTTAGCAGGACAGTAGGACCCACCTCCGACATCTCGATTTTCCCATCTGAATTCTTGTCGTACTTCTGCATGAATTCCTTCATCTTCTCCCCAAAGTTGTCACTCTTTGACATCTGCAGAAAGATAAAGGGTGCTGATTGTGCTCTGGGTCCCCTGAGAACCATGGCTCTCTCACCCTCTCGATGCAGCAATGGTGGGGAAGCACTTTATGCCCCAAATACGCAGGTATGGAACCAGGTCGAGCCAGTGCTCTGAGTAATCAGGGATGCACCCAGATTTTCCCAGGTCCCTCCAAATCTAACTTCTCTTCAAGGCTCATTCACATAATTTTCAGAGGGGAACAGGACATGTGGACATGCTCTGTACCATGTAATTAAACATGCCCCTTTGCCTTTGAGACGGATTAAACCACAACCCTGTCAGAAGGGTGAGGACTGTTCCCATCACTGGGATGTGAGAGCTCAGGCTCCAACATTTTACTAAGGCAGCTTCTAAAAAGTCCACCTTATTCCATGGCCCCCAGTGGGTTCTGCTTAGAGCAAGGTGAATTGCTCATTTTCCTCTCTAAAGATGAACTGGCAATTCCAAAATATTTTTCACTCTGATTTTATGCCTGGAAGAATGTGAAGAGAATGTCTTCATACAGCCAAGGTGTCATTTAAATAGTCCACTAGGTGAATGTGACTACTAAAAAGGCAAAGAACTTCAAAAGTTCCTTTGGGCCATCACCTAACTTATATCTAAGGCTCTTTTGAAGTTCTCAGAACTTCTCTTGGTTTGGGGTGCTGCTGATTAATTGTTTGCATTAACGAGCTCTTCCTTATCCCTAATCAATGATGAATCAACTTGGCATTTGATGCTGCCTCTTTGCTTATCTGATGACTTTCTGGTGGGTTATGTGTTTCCTAGGATTGGGCCAAGGGGAATTCTACCGATTCTTAGAGTCTTTTCTGAATCCCTTCTATTGTTTATTTTTTGGGTTTTGGTTTTTGGTTTTTATTTTATTTTTACCATTGGAACTGGGGTCATTTACTAGCATTTATTTGTTTATGAATATGCATTACTTTACATTTACAAATGTGCATGGAATGATCCTAGGCCCTTATCATAAGTGTGGCAGTCCTATTTAATTTTCACAGCAGTCCCCATGAGGTTAGTCCCATTTTACAGACAAATGGAGGCTGAGATGAAGTGACTTCTCCTGAGGTCACCCGTTAAAATCACCAGAATTTGAACTCATGGCTCCTGCTTTCCAAGGCCAGTATTCTTTCTCCCACATAGCAGCTGCTCTGAGAACCAGTCTGGGATGATGTTAGTTGAGACGGTTGTTGACAGACTAGAAAATCACACCTGATGCCATCTGAGGAAGGGAATGACTAAGAGAAGGATTTCAGATTTGAAGCTTTTCATAAAAACACATTCCTCTGTCTATCCCGTGAGCCCAGAACCAGTTGTGAAGCCTGTGCTTTCTGTGATCCAGGCTTCATTATCCTAGTAATGAGGGTGATGGGGGACTGTTAATAAACAAACCCATGAATCACCTGCATCACTTAAGCCCATCACTTGACGCCCTCTTCATTGGGGTGGGTTGCCAAGCTTTAGACCAGGTGCTCACCAGTGGATTTATGACTCATCTCCCAAAATGCTCCACAAAGACTTGCTAATGAGCCGTGGATTGGCCAACAGACATGCAGCATGGAAGAGTAGAGAGACCTCCCACCCCCCACCAAGGACCCTTGGGAGCTGATGGGAGAGAATGGGTCTGACTCCATATATTTGAGAACCAGACACGGAAGTCGCAGCACCCTAGCTCTAATCACCTTATGTTTTCAGTATTTCAGACGCTCCCCCAAAAGGCTTTAGTGAACTCAGTAGTGCCAGGTTGGCACCAGGGGGAACAGTGTGCCTGCCATTAAGGGGCTGGGATGTGACTTGGAGCCACTTTGGGCAGGCCAGGAAGGGCAGTCTAACATCACACACGAGGTCAACCAGTACAGTCTGGTTCAGATACTTGGTTTGGAGCAATCCCCCTTTTTCTTCTAGGTCTCTGCCGAAATTCCAGCCTGTCAGCTTAGAACAGTGGTTCTCTCATTGGGATCATTCTACACCCCCTGCAGGAGACATTTAGCAATGTCTGGAGATAGTCACAATTTAAAGGGGATGCTACTGGCATCTCATGGGTAGAGGCCAGGGTTACTGCTTACCATCCTACCATGCCAAGGACAGCCCCTCCATGACACAGAGTCATCCGGCCCCAGATGTCAGTAGTGTGGAGGCTGAAAAACTCCAGTCTTAAATAAAGGCAGTTGAAACCCACTAGGCGTCCAATCTTGAGTCACGAACCCCCGAGCGTCTTAGATAGATTATAGACTCTTCCCGAAGAAAACACTTTTTATACACACATACACAAATACAGAGTTCTGCAGTTTTGGAGGGTTCATCAATCCCTGATGCCCATGAACACCCCTCCATCCCAGACACCCAAAGATAGTGAGGTAAGGTACTCTTTTGAGGGAGTATTCTAATTTTTAAAAACCCTAAGGGTCAAGACCAGAGATGTCAGGCCCGCTGATGAAATGCATGATCTAGGACAGACGATGCTCAAAGCCATGCTCAGGATGACCGAAAATCCCGAACAATAGGAGAGAGGGGTGGGCTTACCATGCCAGAGCCTTTTCTTGCCTTCTCCAGTTCTTGGAAAAAGTTTTCTAGCTCTTTACCTTCAATATACCCATTTCCTGCAAAGATAGCAAAGAAAAAAAGCCATGATGCTCAGAGCTAAGTAGTAAGACTTATGGTAGTTGGGTGGGGTGGGAAGTCAGGGGCTTCACAGACAAGTAGTTCTCATTGGTCATCAAGCAGGTATGTGGGCCAGCCCTGGACTGTTAGGGATGTGGGTCTTGCCCTCTGGGCATTTGCAACCATAGAGATCCAGGATGAATAACCATGTTGTCTTCGGGGTATACATTCAGTAGTCAGAGAATACTGGGAGGGACCAGCTGCTGGGCCTTCCAGCAGAGGGAGCAGGAGCTGGGAGCTGTCTGTCCATAACCAGGTGGGCAGGCAGCAGGCACTGGAGATGACAGGGGACAACAGGTCATCAACCTTGAGGTTTGTCACCAAGTGGCAAGCCATGGTCACTAGGGCGAATTGAAGTCAGAGTCAGAACTTGGGTCTTCAGGGTAGGAGGGTGTACTGAGTTGAAGAGTGTCCTCCCAGATCCATGTCCACCTGGAACTCAGAAAGTGACCTTATTTGGAAATAGGGCCTTTGCATATGTAGTTAGTTAAGATGAGGTCATACCAGATGAGGTGGGCCCTAAATCCAATGACTGGTGTCCTTATAAGAAGCCCATGTGAAGACAGAGACGCAAGGAAGAAGGCTACGTGAAGGCAGGCAGAGATTAGAGTCATGCATCTCCAAGCTAAGGAGGACTGTGGATTGCAACTACCAGGAGGCAGGAGAGAGACGTGGAACACATTACTACTCAGAGCCTGGAACCAACACCTTGATTTTGGACTTCGACCCTCCAGAACTGTGAGAGAATACATTTTTGTGGTTTTACGCCACCTGACTTGTCGTACTTTGTTAGGGCAGCTCCAGGGAATAATGCGGAAGGTAAGAGTGGAGAGAAAGGCAGGGCATCTTTCCTATGGGATAGGGGCACCGGAGGGGGTCATCACAGGAATCAAGCACACGGGAGGCCACCACTGCAGTGATGAGCAGGGGGTGCTCTGAGGTTTGTGGAATGAATAACCTTAGCGGCGCCCTCTAGTGGGGGAGATGCCACAATAAATAGTGTGTGGAGAGAATCATGTGACACATTATGTATTTTTATCTGCAGGGAAAAGAGAGGACTGTAATTGCGCCAGGGTGAGGGTGGGGGGACGAGACTTGAGTTCCCTTTTGCCCCCTAGGCTAGAGTGGTCATTTTTCTTCTAGGATGTTCTGCTAAGCCTCTCAGGAGAGCTGGAATTTTCATGCATGTGTGCTCACAGCCTGCGAGCCAGCTGGAGTGGGGGAGTGAGGAGGGGAGGGAGGAAGGGCTTTCTAGGCAAAAAGACAGTTGTCCAGTTGATGGTGCCTCTAAGTTGGAGGAGTGAGTACTTTTCTCTCCCCGGTCACTCCCTGCAGTGATCAGGCTGTTCTTCCATTTCTCAGGCAGGAAGCTGAGCTCAGCTCTGGGTCCAGGGGCAGCTTCAGGAGCCCAAGGCTGGGGTTGTGGTGGGGAGCAAGAGCTCACACTGAGAGCATGCGCTGGTGTTCCACGTAGCAGAGGCCTCAGAGGTGGGCCTGGGCCAGGGCTGGGCAGACACGTGAGTCAGTGGGTGTGAGTCTGTTTCGTGAGGGTTTTAGGAGGCAGCTGAAATTACCTACCAGGGCTACTTGGACAGGGTGGGCAGGGAAGGCCTCACTGAGAAGTCCTAGCAGAGGCAGGGAGAGGGGCCAGGATCTGGGCTAGTTCCCCCTTGGAAAGAAGCTTCTCCCTGAATCTAGCTTGAGCAGCCTGGGCAGCCCGAGGCTCCCAGAGACTGGATGAACCCCTCTTGCCATGCCAGAGATTCTGCCACAATCTCTGTGGTTCATTCCCACAAGTCTTTATTTTGTGAGCTGAACAACTGTTCAACATCGTGGCCGGAGCACAGGGAGGTATGGCCAACTTTAGATACAGGCCTGTTCCCCAAGATCAGGGGCTGCAGGGAGGAAAGTTCTTTGCTATTTTGGCTTCCCTCAGGGCAACTCCCCACCCATCACCCAGGAGGCACCTATTATCCAAGGCGGGGGGTGGGGGACAGGTTGGCCCACCTGCTTTCAGGGTAGACTTCAGCACTGGGCAAGTGGTTTGCTTTTCCTCTGACCCTCTTACAGTGGGTGGGGTGACTGGCCACCATGCAACTCTCATGTGATGGGCATTGATCAGGATGTAGTTATCATCCTTATGATTACTAATAGGATGGACCATAAGGTTACCATAGCAACCATCACCCCCAACCTCAGTATCAAACCACATCCTGTGAACATTAGGGAGATGGGGCTGGGTGGAGTCAGGGACCCTGCATCCTTCCTTATGCTAGTCTTCATCCCCTGTGTGCCTCAATTTGCCCAAATGTAAAGTGAGACAACACTTTACAATTAATCTGACCAGGCACTTGGAAAGCCTTGACTGAAGTATGCCCTGCCCCACAGTGGAAAGGGGCTTATTTCTCACTGAGATTTATGTGTACAGATTTTCTGAGAGTTGAGCAGGTGAGAGGAACCTCAGTAAGAATGGTAATTCTACCACCAGCTCTGTGACTGTCCATGCATCGTCAAGGAAGTCAATCTCCTGGAGCCTCAGTTTCTTGATCTCTAAAATTGGTATAAATATTTATTCTCAAAACTACTTATTCTTTTGAAAAACAAAAACAAAAAACCCAAAGCTTTATAGCCATTATGACAGCCATACAAGACTGGGAAAGCATTCTGGAAAAATGTAAAATCCAACATAAATGGAAAACATCATTTTTATACCCTATGCTCTTAAGTTCTTCCAAACCAATCCATGGCTGTAAACCCTTTGGCCCAAAGAGTTCCAGCATGACTAAAGCTTCAGAGTCCAGGTTCTCAGCCCAGGCTGTGTGTTAGAATCGCCTAGGAAACTTTTAAAACAGCACCACTGCCTGGGGCCCCACCCCAAAGCGTCTGATTTAATTGGTGGTGTGGGAATATCTCGTGGGCATGTTTTCAAAGCTCTCCAGGTGATGCTGACATGCAGTCAGGGTAAAGGACTATTTTAGAGCAGTGTGTCTCAAATTTTAAGGTGTGCAGGAATTACCTAGGGAGCCTATTAAAATGGAGATTCTAATTAGGTAGGTCTGGAGTATGAGGACTTGCCGTTCCAAGAGTGGTCTGTGGAACAGTAGGTTTGGAATTACCTGGGAGCTTGTTGGAAATGCAGAATCCCAGGCCCCACCCCAGAGCTGCACAGCCAGGACTTTTAACAACGTATTTTAACAACGTAGGAGTGTGAACTTTGGAGAACCACCGTTTTTGAACGTGAGCGCCTCCTCCCTAGAGACTGTGCCTTTGGCTTCACATTCTAGGTTGAGGTGGGGGGCTGGTGTGCACCCCAGGATGGTAGACCTGGGTTCCCTATTGACAAGTGATGGCACCTCTCTGAACACGGGGGGCCTAGACCAGCGCTGTTCAAGAGCAGTTGGGGCCTGACGGTGTCAGCATCACCAGGGAGCTCGTTAGAAATGCAGATTCCCAGACCCACTCCAGACCTGCCGAATTAGGATTGTTGGGAATGAGGCCCAGAAAATCGGTGCTTGAACAAGCCCCTCTGGGTGCTCAAGTTTGAGAAGCACAGGCTTAGGGCCACGGCGGTGTGGTGTTCACCATTCTGTGTTAATCTGTGATGTGGAGTTTGGAGAAAACCAAGGAGGGAAGTTATGCAGTTTCAGACTCTTTGTTAACTAAACAAGAAGGTGTTCATGAGGCCAGGCCTCCTGTCTGTCCAAATTCATGGAACGGCAAATAGCCCTCTACCCTCCAGTACAAGTTCCTGTGGGCCAAATACCACCCTTTAGGGCAAGAAATTGGCTTCCTTAGGCTCTGCTCCTGCATTAATAGTACTTGGCATGGTGTACACCATTTACAAAGAGCTGTCCACTCTCCACCCTGTCTGGTCTTCAGGACTCTGCCACGTAAGCAAACGGGTGTTACTGGCATCGTGTTAGAGAGGAGTTTGAGGGGAGAGAGAGTCAGTCCCAGCTAACAGCCTGTTCTCCTTCTATTCAGGCTCTGCCCATATCTGTATTTGTATTGGTTTTTCTCTTTGTCAGTCATACACGCACATGTACATGCACACATGCACACGCACATGTGCACACTTCTCCTGGTGGCTCCTGAAGGGAAAAACCCAGTGCGAACAGCTACTGGATGAATGTTCAGACACTTGACTTTTCATCTGTGTTTCTGGGCCATGCTGCTTCTGGAACAATGGCCCCGGAGCTGGCCTGGGTCCCCTGAACCCGTGGACATCTGGCAGCCTAATGCTGGGCCGATTCCCAGGCTTGGAGGAGGCCAGAAGGATGGGGCAGATTGGACGACAGGGGAGGGGAGAGAGCAGAGAGCCAAAGAGCGGGGCGGAGAGGGCTGAAGCCAGAGGCCCCAGCTGGGACCGGCTGGGCAAAGGCGGGATCTGATGCAATCGGCCAGGACAGACCCCCCCTGGGGCCAGAGTTGGGGAGGCCCAGTTCTTGAAGAGCCTCACGCCTGCATGCTCTATTAATTCTTGCTCCCGGGGCATTGGAAGAGATTTCCCAAAGGGGTCTCCTTAGCCCCGGGAACCTCCCCCAGGGGATCAACTAGTGAAACTGCTGAAGTCTAGAAGGGGATAAACAAGGAGTAGGGCAGGGATGTGGGATCGCCGGGTTGGTGGCTGCCCTGGTGAGGCGGGCTTGTTTGTGAAAACGCCCCACAGCTGCCTCCCCAGGGAGCCCCAGCTCTTCTCAGATGCAGCTGCCACCCCCTCCACTCCACCCCCGCCTTGGCTGGTGCAATCACCCTCCGAGAGGCTGGGCCGTGGGGCATGAGATGCTTGCAGAGGGCACCTGGTGCAGGGCTGGCAAAACAAGAGGGGGGTTTGGGGGTGAAAGTGGAGGTGAGATGGGGGACTTAGTCCTCAGGCTTACCCCAGGTGGGACAGGAGGCTGCTCCCGAAGAACGCGCAGTCCTGATATGCCTGAGACACAAGGACCCCACAGAGAAACGCAGACAGGGTTAAAAGAAAGCCTCCCTCAGACAACTTTGACCTTGGTTCCAGGCACCAGTGCCCTCCGACTTTAATGTGCTGAGAAGCAATCATTTTTATAAATCCTATAATTATCTTATGAATAGCACAGTTGTATTGCATAGTAACAGTTGCACTATTTGTGTAAATGCTTAATATATACTGGAGCTTTTGCAACCCTGTTTGTGCAGGTCTTTCTAGTATTCCAAAAACCTTCTTTTAGAATTCCAGCACAGACAGACCTCTCTCCACCTGCTGTTCAGCTTTCCTCCCATTCCCCGACCAGGGACACAAACTCAGCAGTAACTCGTGCTCTGGGAGAGCCTGCCGGGGTACCCTGGGTCTGGCCAGTGGCCCCTGTGGTGGGTGGGTTTGGAGGATGCTTTCTGTTATTACCACTGGGTATAAGAGGGCAGAGGAGGGAAGACTGGGCAGGGCCTTCCTCACTCGTCGTGGTCCTTTGTGTCACTAATTGTCAAAGTCCTCGAGGACACATGGATAAGGAACAAAGCTCCGTCCCTGTGCATGGCTTTGAGAGCCCACTGCATCACCACAGCCACCTGGAGGCAGAAAAAGGCTCAGAAGACTCTGTGCAGGTCCCCACACCTGCAGCTTATCTGTATGTCTTTTGATGACAAGAGGGAGGTGCCCATAAAGTTATTTTGTTTTTCTGAGTATACAAGGAACACATGCTCTTGTAAAATCTCAAACGCTGTGGAAATTAACTTAGAAAGTTAAAGGAAAAAGGCCTTTTAATTTGACATCATCTACTCTGCAGAGAGGACCACTGCTGTTCTGTTCTTTCAAATATTTTCCAGCATACATGTTTCATTAATAGCAAAAATGGGTTCACACTGTAATAGTGTCCTGCTACAATTAAAAAAATCTTAATAATGCATCATGGACATTTTTCCATGTCAGACAAAAGCTCCAGTGGTTGTATAATATTCCACTGTAGAGATTAGCAGGATTTATTTTTCTGTTCCCTAAGGAAGCACATTCTTTCTCAAAATTTCAGTATTCCGAAGAACTCGGTAATAGACCCCCTCGTTGATGGAACTTTATGCACATGTACGAGTATATCCATGTAGGATAGATTCTTGGAGTGAGTGGGATTCTCTCTGTGGTCCTGTGAGTGTCTGCTGGCCTCTAGGAAAGAAGATATCCCTACCTGCAGGTGCGTCCAAAGGGTAGCAAAGGCTCAGGGCAAAACTTGGCTCCTCGCTGACCTCCTACTGGTCGTTAGCAGAATGGGGGCCTGCTGGCCGTATGCTTAGAACCACAAAGAGAGGCCAGTGTGAATTCTGAGCTGGGCATCGCTCTGACCCCTGGATCTGGGAGTGAGAAAGTTTCTGACAAAGGAGTGACCAGGAAACAACAGAACAGTGGGCCCAGACATGTTGGGCACGTAAGGGTCACTCAGAGCCTGGAGGTGATACGTGGAAGAGCCCAGGCCCCACCTGGCTCCTAGGGTACCCTTAGCTGCCGTCTTCCGTACTTCTGCCTTTGAGAGATGACACCTGGACCCTTCCAAGTGCATGACCTTGGCTGACTGCTGAGGAGTTGGGGGGGTACTGGAGACAGGATTCCCCCCACCCTGCCACTTGGCCATGTGATCTTGTGAAAAGAGTGTTGCCTCTTTGAGTCCCAATTTCACCCTCTCCAGACACCTGCTCCTTCCTTCCTCTACCACCAGGCTTATGATCATTCTGAAGATAATCAAACTCTGGGCAAAAGTCACCAGGATGATGACTCTTCCTCCTGGTTAGAAATGAGCTGAGTTAGGGTCAGATCCCCTGCCCCATCCTCACTCTCCTCGGAATCCAGCTCCTCCTGCAGCCTCCTAGTCTCTGTTTACTAGAGTCCAGAAGGGTGGGGCTCCCTCTACCTGTTGCCCGTGGCTAATTGGGCTCCAGTGAGCTCACTCCAGAGACCCGGTGAGCTGCAAAGGAGAGTCTTCCCAGAGCTCTTTAACTCTGTGAGTGGCAGAGGAGAAACCCCGAGATGAAAACAGACTCCGGAGTTAGTAGGAAGGAGGCCCAGCTAGGGCAGGGAGCGCCTTGGGGGGTGGGGAGGAGCTCCCTGGCAGCCTTGGGAGTTCAGGAGGGGACAGGTAGGAAAGGTCCAGAGCAGGGTGACCCACAGCTCAATCCTGGGTCCTTCAGTGGAATTCCAATTTGGCTGTATCCTCATTTTCCTAAATCACCTCTGTGCCATCTCTGGCATTTTAGTTCTCTTTGCCTTCCTTCTCTGTGAGGTCCATGGTCCCTCCTTGGGACTTCCCTGAAGCAGTGACCAGAGAGGGCAATGGGACACCGGAAGGAACCAAGAAGCAATCTAGCTCCCCTTTCATATAGGAGCAGGTACAATGGCTTTGGGGGTCTATAAAGACTCTTGGGTCTAGTTCTAGCTTAGCTATGCTCTAGCCACATCTAGGACCCCTTTCTAGTATTAAAGGAACTGCCCATCGCCTCCGAGGCTGGGTCGGGGGCTCTTCCATGAGTGTCCAGAGTTGGGGAATAAGTGCTGGCCAGGAACCAGTCCCCGCCACCACCTCGATACCTGACCTCAGAGAAGTCACAGTTTGTTCCCTTAGCTGCACAAGGAGAATGATAATCTGCCCACAGCTTCGCCATGCAGGACTCAAGAAGGTGCGACTGTGTTTTGAAAACTACAGAGTCTCAGACAAATGTGAGGATTTGCATGATTATCGACAGTGCTATTTGTTGTCCCCACGAGAAGAGGGGGAGAGTGGAACTGTGGAGTCCTCTGTTTATAGCTGACTCATCTGGCAGGAGGCCGGTGGCATGACCTTGGCCACTTGGTAACTTTCCTTGAATCACTCAAGTCTCTAGTGCAGATAAACTGGCAGGAGCATCCCTAGGGAATGTGCATGTCATCTGGAATGTGGGGAGGCTGTGATCTTCTCACAGCCCTTTCTCCCAAGGGAGTTTTATGGCACGAGCTGCGGCTTGGAAGTACAACCCCTCCTTAGCCCCATTTTACAGATTTAGCAATCTACCCATCTCCTCCAGTAATTCATAGGCAAATTACAGTCCTAATCCAGGTGTCACATGCCCAGTTCTCTGCACTCCTAGATTTCTCAGTTGGCTCCAAGGGAACAAAACTTCACTCAAGATTATACCCAGACACTAACCTGTGCCTCTCCATAGCACGCTGGGCGGACAGCCTCTGTTTAGGCAGCTTTACACCCACCCAGCCGAGGTGAGAAAGGGAAGGGAGAAGACTGGAGAGAGTCTCCACCTGACCCGCCCTCTGGCTTCCATCCCCCCACAAGCTCCCAATCCCAGGATAAACTCTCTGGGCCACCACCCTGCCAGTGGTCATAGATGCCAGAACATTTTGGCTGCCCACCCCAGCCAGGACCTCTGAGAAGGAAATCAGATCACTTAATTTTTTGGAGTGGTGGGGAGAAAGTCTCCAGTGATATCAGAAGCCTCTAAAGCGAGGTGGCAGGGGGGGTGTCCCATTTATGTCAGAGTCAGACCATCATAGACCCTTGGAACCCCAGTGCTTGGAGGTTCCAAACGTCATTCAGTCCAGCCCTCAATTTTTGGGTGAGTCAGTGTCAAGACCATGCAGAGCGGAGGGTGGGTCACTGAAGCATTTAAGATTATGCCTCCCCCGACCCAGAGAAAGGAGTCACCCAAAGCACCCAGGATTATCACCGGGAAGGAACATATCAGGCTGGCACCAAAACCTGCCCCCCACCACACCCACTGCTGCTGTGGGTGGGATCTGCTTGCCGGTGAGGGACGGAAAATGGGCAGAGGAAGCCCAGGGGATGCTAACACTCGATACACTCTCTGCTCTTGTTCTCACCAAACAGGCTGGGGAGGACCCCCTTCAGGACCCCCACTAGCTTGCCCCAGCCCCCAGGACGCCACGGGGCTATGCTGCTTTTCAACAGGGAAACTTGAGGGAAGAAATGAATGGGCTGCTGAGATCTGTGGCAGCAGCCGCTGAAGGCAGGATGCTACCTTGAAGGGAAAGGCAGGGAAGATAAGATGGCAGGGGGAGTCACAGGGAGCCTTGTCTGCCGAGGCCTCCTCCCTGGGAAAGCTCCAACTTGCCCAGAATGAGGTTGCAAAAGCTGATGGGCTCTGTCATCTCTGTCAGGAAAGAAAAGTTCCTGACAGTTGTCACCCGGGCAGCCGGGTGTCTCCCAAACTCGACCTCAGCTGTCTCGGTGGCCAAAACACCCTCTGGGGCAATCTTACACCTGCCTGCATCATCATTGCCCCCTTCCTTCCACCGCAGGTCCCCTGGGGTTGAGTGGGCAGACAAGTTGGGAGCTCTACTGACCGTCTGCGTCAAAGTGTTTCCAGATCTCCAGGAACTGGGACGCCGTCAGCTCGGCCAGGTGCAGGTAAGGGGGCTGCTGCTGCGGGCCAGCCATGGCGAGCCGCTCTTAGACCTCAGGCAGCACCGCGCTCTCCCTGCGCGCCGGCTTCGCTCCTGCACTCGGCCAGCTCTTGCGCGCCACGCTGCCTTTATATACAGTTCGGAGGCTACGCCCGCGCCTGGCCGCCAGCAGGGGGCGCGCGCGCTCAGAGAATCAGCCTGGGTCTCCGCCGGGCGGCGGCCGCCCAGGGACTAAGCAGGGGTTCGCGGGGGTAGGGGCGCCCGTCTGCGCTGACCCTAGCCCGCTCCTGGCCTGGGAAACAGAGGCTTTCGGGTGCAAAGGGAAGAGAGGCTATCCTTTCCTTCCCTCTCCTTCTCTCTGATCATCTTGAGTGCAGCCACCGCGTATCATCACTAGCAGCAACAATAATAGTAACAGTAGTAAGAGCAACACCACCAGTCGTAATAATAATGTAAGTTTAACAAGTCTTTGGCATCTCGACTTCGGAGTTCCCTAAGACGCTCTCATGCCTCCTCTCGTCTGGCCCTTTCATAGCAGGAAGACTAGGGACGGCTTTTCTGATAAGGGGACTTAAGACTGTAAAGGACCAAATGACTTGCCCAGCCCGGCTCTTTCCATGCTCTCATGGGTCCCAGTCTTGGAGACAAGCCGTGTGTTCCCTAGGCTTTACTGGGGGCAGCTGGAAACAGCGACCCCCAGGGAGGATCCGGATGGGAGTGGAGGAGGGGCTTCCACTGTCCCCTCTTGGGGTGTTGGTGATTGCCCTCGCTTGAGTACCTCCCTCCACTCCCTGATGCTTGCCTCGCCCTGGACAGGCTCTGGGGGATTTAGACACTTGTTTAGAGAGTCGCAGAACTAGATCCTCCTCTACCAGGCCTTAGCCACGCCCACCTACCGACATCGTGGGAATTTGTTTAGGCAGGTGGGCAGAGAAGGTCCCACGCTGACATAGAAATGGTCTGCGCTGGTCTCAGAGAAGACAGAAGCAGCTGCTGAGAGTACAGACCCCAGGATATGAACATGACTCCCCAAGCTGGGGGCTGGACTCCCTCACCATTCTTCCTGGTGGCCTGAGTCCTGTCTTTGTGGACTATAACCCCCAGAGTGGCAGCTTTGTCCCCCCTTTCTCTCCTCTCCTGCTGAGCGACTGAGAAATGCATTGATGCTCATTAGCATGTGCTAATGAGTGTTAGGTGAACTGCCTTCCCGAGGGAGAGCAAAGGGAAGAAGGTGAGAATGAAAAGGAGGTCGCCAGGGGAGAGAGGAATACCAGGAGGAGACAGAGGGGGCAGACTGTCCCTCAGGGGGAAGGACGAGCCCCGAGTGAGCCTGAAAGAGGCAACACAGTGAAGGTTCTAAAACCACTTGTATTTTTTTGCCTGGGGCAAACTTTTGCCAGGGCAAATGTGTTTAGAGCTACTTGCACAACAGTGGGAGAGAAAAGGAGTAGTAAGAAGCTAGCTGTCCAGGCCTGCATGCACAGAGGAGAGTCCTGGGCTGAGGAATGCACCAAAGCCACTGGGTCTAAGGAGGCAGGATTACTCAGTGGTTAAGAGCAGGCACTTTAGAATCAGGCTGCTTGGACTTGGATCCCAGAATAAGCTGTGTGACTTTGGGCAAATTATATAACTTATCTGTGCCTCAATTGTTCTCTTCTACAAAATGGGAATGTGCACATTTACCTCCTAGAATTGTTCAGAGGATTATATGAATTCATGCTCCCACTATCCTTTGTGGAGCCACAGGTCAGCAGTGGTTGGCTGGGCAAGAAATTCCTTGGCCAGCATCCCTCCCTGGGGTAGCTAACGGCTTCTAGAGGGGCTAATTCCAGAGTGAGGCCAAGGGGAAAGGATAAACAGAAGCTCTTAACCACTGAGCTGCTAGCCCCTCGGAGCCAGGCTCAGCCCCTTCCAGCTCTGACAGTGTCATCTGGTCTCTTCTGACTCACCTCCTGCACCCACCTCTGGCCTGAGTCTGCAGTGAGAAAGCTCATCTCTGGCTCTCTAAAGACCAAAACCAGTTCCTACTTGATGCTTTGGTTTTCCTGGTGAGGAGGAGACAGTGGAGCTCATGCCTCCCACTTTCCAGAGCTCCTGAGATGGGGGAAGATGTTGGCTTGACTGGGAGAGGGCCTGAGTAGGACCACAGAGTGACCACAGAGTGACCACAGTGGCTTCCAAACCCCTAATTGGGACAGCCCTGCACCATTCATCTTAGCTGCAGGCTTGGAGTCTCCTTCTGGGAGGCCCATCCCTGACTCTCCTGGGGAGAGCTGCAGAGCCCAGTTGAATCCCTTTGCCCCCAAGCTGAGTCCTGCAGGAGCAGTCACGGTGAGGAATTACAAGTCCCTGCTCTGGGGTTGGACAGATGCAGGTGTAAAACCCACTTTGAGACCTTGGGCAAGCTAATTAACCTCTTCGAACTTTAGTGAAAATAGAGGTAATAATAATACTTGGTAGCCCATGGTCAGTGTAAGGACCAAAAATAACGTAGTCAAGGGTTTAGCCAGCAAGAATCCTGGCAGAGGTAAGCGCTTAATTAAAAGATAGATAGTATTATTAATATTGGATGGTAGGAATTTTTCTTGTTGTTCTGAAATAGCACAAAGGGGGCTGAGTACCCCACTTGGAAAGCTTCTCCCCAGGAGCCAGGCACCTCCTGTCTGCTGGGCTGCCCTCCACTTCCAAACAAGGTCCTGGGCTGTGAAAGGAGAAGCTGCGTGGGGGAGAGGGAGGAGCCTTAGTCTTTGGGAAGTGCAGCATTGTGGCTCCTCTGAAGCCATACGTTGTTGGGCTGACTCCAGAAGACTCTTCCAGGTCATGGGAGATGCCTGCACTACTCTGGAGTCCGGGCCTGGCGTGAAGACAGAACTGCTGCTTGTGTCTGACTTAGAGCTGTCTGAAGGCCCAGGCTGTCCCATCTCCTGTCCCGTTGGCAAGGGGGAAGGAGGAAAGCTTTGAATAGGAGAAGAGGCTGGAGTTTTAAGCTGGTCCTGACCAAGTTTACATACCTGAATGTGAGAAGGAAAACAGACTCGGATCCAGAAATGGTTCAGGGATGGGGGAGAGATTCAATGAGCATATCTGAAAGCAGTGACTATAGAAACAAAATTCTTTTATGTTTATATCTCAATGAGTTGAGATTTTTGTAATTATTTTTAGATGTCTGGGATTCTCGTTATAGATCCTGGAGGGGTCTATAATGATGACCTGAAGGATACCTTTAGATGACTTTACAAAGAGGGCTGTAATGCGTCTTGCTTGGTTAGGTCCTCACAACTAGCCTATCACTATAAGAAGTGGGCCCATTTTCACGATGAGGAAACCAAAGTTCAGAGAGTAACACCAAACCAAGACCTGGCAGGGGTGGGATATAGGGAACAAATGGCTTCTCTGGTATATGGAGTCCTTGTGGACCAGGTGCCAAGTCCCTGGACAATATATACAAAGTTCTTCCCATGTCCTGACCCCCCAGAGCTGCAGGGCACCTCCTAGTGGTGAGGGGTGAGACATCATGTGTACTGTTTCTGAGATGCTCAGGAGTTGGGCTGATGGTTGGTTCCTCCTTCTCTATAAGGGGCAAATTGGGTGCCATCCTCTGTTTTGCACCCCCAGCCCACCAGCTGCATCGTGAGTGCTGCAGTCCAGTGTCAAGGATTGGCACGAAGACTTGCCCTCCACCTCAGACCCCAGAATTGCTTCCCCAAGGAGGGAGGGAGGCCTGTTGACTGCGAGACAGTGAGATTCAGGAGAACAGATGACAAACAACTTCCCAGCCAATATCCACTGGGCCGAGGTAATTGGCAGAGCTGCTCAGAGCACCTGGTGTTATTTTGGAGAACATCAAAGGAAAAAAATCAGAAACCTCACTCAGTTCCTCCCTCTGCTTGGAAATATTTCTTCCAAATATTGCCTCTTTGGTCTTTATAATGTTTAGGCCTGGCTACTGGAGTGCCAGAGAGCTGGCCTTGCTTCCCAGAAAGCAGGATGAAAAGGATGCAGGAACCCAGCAGTTTCCATGGAAACGGATCAGGTGGAGGGATAATAAAGTCTAGAGGAACCCAGAGGTGGGAGCAAGACTTTTGTGTAAACTCGGTCTGAAGCCTGAGAATCTGCGGACAAAATACTTCCCTCTGAGCAAAAGATTTGGGTCACTAGGATAGCCACAGGAGGTGGAATGACAAATATTCTCCCCCAACAGGCAGGGGCACAGAGGCTGAGAGCTCAGTCTCCAGAATCCCACAGACCCCTTTCAGCTCTTGGTTTTTCTGCTAATCAGTGGTTCTGCCATGTGAAGGCTGTGTGACCCTGGGCAAGGCATTCAACCTCTCTGAGCTTTCCTTTCCTCATTGGCAAAATGAGGATAATTCTAGTAACTTCCTCATATGACTTTTGTGAGCATTAAGAGTGGTAATGCATGTAAAGGGTGATGTAGGGCCTGGAACATATTAAGCATTCAAATATTGTTGTTACAGGTGAGAAAACAGAGCAGATGCTGAGGGGTATCACCCGGTCAGTGGAGCCAATCCCCCTGGCCAAAATGCAATTAAGGATAAGGAGTAAGAGATAGCATTTCAGAAGCTGAAGGAGCTACTGAAACAGACACCCTCTCTATGGCAGACAGACTGGCATGAAGCTGTGAGGTGTGGCATTGCTGCAGCCATTTTGACACCATGAGTGAAGAGTCTAGAGTGGCCCAGGCTGGGGAAGGGCACAGAGTGGAGACTGAGAATGAAACCCACACTGCAAAAGGCAAGGCAGAGAAACTGTACAAGAAGTTGGGTCACATGTGACATCATTTGAGCTGCTGGATCAAGCTGAGCTTGAAGTATCTTTGGACCTTTCCATTATATGAGTCGATGTATACTGTTAGTGTTTAAGCCCATTTGTGGTGGATTTTCTTTCATTTGAAACCAAAAAGTCCTAACTGATAATCCAAGAAGAAGATAGTTGTTCTCAAAAGAGCTGGACTTGGGGAACAGGGACCGAGGTGTCTCTCTTTCCTTTTTAATTAGGGCAGCAAGCCACTCCTGCACAGATTCTGTCTCCATTCGCACAGTTCCTCCAGTTTCTTCTCTCCCACAGCACACGTCCTCATGACTTTGCCTTTCCTTGCCTATCA